AGCATGGCATGACATTTCAGGCTACAATCAAGCATGCCAAGGTCTAACTAATTAGCGAAGGCGTACCGTTGTTCGTGACAGTACTCGAACTCTTGTTCGTGAAGTTGATGACATATTGCTCGTTGCAGTACAGGTGCCTTGTATCGGCCGAGTGTATACCGAGCTCCTGTCACGAAAATTATAACCGGTTTCGGTATGTACTAACATACGTAGCTTGTAGCCCCCTGATGGCGGACATAGTTTCGTCACTTGGCCCCGGAGATTTAGCGGTCCCTTTTTAAAAGGTTGGCTGTTTCGCGCAATCCTATCATTCTCTACGTATCAAAATAATCCGGGAGCTCGAATGAAAGGCTTGAGAGCTGTCATAATAGAGGCGGCAGGGATATCTTTGACCGGAGGTAAGTAAAGCCACAAATCCCAGCTGACGATCGGCAGCCTATATGCGTATAATATTTATTTTAAGCAGAATGGGGGCTGACAGATGGAACTTCATTTACCGACCTGGGGCATTACATGACTGCCGTGACGACTCGTTCCGGCTGTGCACCAGGTAACTACATCTTACTTGTACCTGCCCAGGTAGGTAGGAGGACTGCAGCATGCATAGATCTGATTGGTCAATCTTCGCTATGTCAGAGCTTTGACTAACTTTCTGTCGCTTACCAGAAAGCTGTTAGCCTGCCGGGTCGTTTTGCGTCAAGCCACCGTATCATCGTAAGACATTTGCGCTGACGAACTCGGAAATGGGGGATAATGGACGCTAAAATGTGGAGGATGCAACACATTCCCCCCCATATGGGGGGCATTACACTGCCACAACGAAGATCCAAATGGATGATCAGTCAATGATTAATAAATACAGCCAACTATGTCAGGCAAAAGCGCTATTGAGATATACTAAAAGATGCATGACATGTGCAAGGATTATTTCTGCTTGACTCCGAGACGGCCGTACTAGGTATAGCCTAAGTACCTACACTACCACAAGATATATGTACGAAAGTCTTTCCTTATTTCTCGATTGACGTGCTGTGCTGTACGGCACCAACAAGTCACGGCCATTGATGCACGGCTAATCGTCTGAGCTGCAATCAACATAGGGAGCATTCTCATTCTACTATATGCTGATACGAGGTGATCCAATGGCTGCCGGCCCTATACTAAGGGGTTGGTTAACTAATACGAGATTGCCGAGCCAGTACTTCAGCGCCAAACCTTTCAGACAAACAATAATACCGGTACATCATTGACACTGTAGAAGTAATAGGTAATCAAATAAGGTTGCAGTTATGTATACAACATATCCAACCCGGGTTTGAAGTTGAACCAACCAGTCAAATACCTGCAGTATACTTACCTCCAGGTTACTGCAATACAACACTGCCAGGCTACACAACTTACAGCACCTACTTACCTAGGTAGACAGTCGAGGTGGTCTGAAAATAAATGATACAGAATGTAGAGTGTAAAAAAGGATGTTAGTCCTGCCTACCACTAACTAGGTACCTATCACCTTTATTTACTAATATTTCTACTTTATATGATATTTTATACGTATTGAGTTAAGTTCTACGCCCTGCACTTGCTGTATCAGTTTTTTCCCCCGACCGCCTGCAGTGCCAGCTGAGAACTCCCTCGCTAGGGACACCTAGACTAGGTACCTGTCGAGCATTTTTATTAAATGTGGTTTCATCATAGCAAACCGTCTACAAAACAAACTACACTGCTTCCAGCTTAGTAACGATCCACTCCCGCCAGGCACCCGCCCATGGGGATACAAGTCATGGCGCATGGCCCCTAGCCTGTAGTTTCTCTGATTTCTACTGAAGCCCTTTTGTGACCGGCGTGGTGTTGGCGAGTCTAGGAACAGAACGCCATTGCCGTCGAAGCTGTGAACCAAGATGCGGCAGGACGGTCCCGATGTCGAGGCCCAGGCCCGACTGATGTCCAAGGACGACGACGACTTCGCCGCGTCTCGCGAGAACCTTGACTTCGACTATGACGAAGGGAACGGCGACGACGCCTACAGCCATTGGTCTACGCCCTACCGGTCTTCCTCGCGACAGCTCTGGCACCGCGTGCAATCTATCCCCTTGCCCAACTGGCTGCCCGTGCCCGTTCGCAAATTGGGCCAGCTGAACCCTCGAATCCTGCTCGTCATCTTCGCCGTCTCCTTTATCGTGACTGTCTTGTTAGTCAATCCGTACGGCCCGCTTCGATCGAGCCGCGCTTCGGGATCCACGGCTGCCGTGACTGAGCCTGATGATGCTATAGAGACTGCGCTACCCGAACCCGATTCCGGGTTTTGCACTACCTGGCCTGTCGACGAGCAGGGAAGATATGATCCTGACTCCCTCCATCGCGTCAACCAAGTAAAGCATCATAGCGTTGCGCCGCAGGGCGGTTGGGTGAAACCAAAGGGCTTTAAGATTATTGCCATGGTATTCTTCGGGAGAAAGAGATACGTAGACATTTTGGACTGTTACCTACAACAGAACCTCGCATCTAACGGCGGCTACCTCGACGAAGTGTGGTTTATGGTCCATACCCAGGATGAGCACGACATCGCGTGGTTGCACAGTCTTGTGAAAGAGAAACAAGGCTATAAGATTGTGGGTAATGATGAGTGCAATAAGAACAACAAAAAATACGGGTGCTTGTGGGAGTACGCTACCGCAGATAACACTATGTATATTAAGCTTGATGATGATATTGTGAGTTACCATCTCTCCCCCTGTGCATTGACCTTCCTCGACCTAGCAAAGACTAGTGATATGGAGCGCGAACAACGATAAGCTGACATTTTTTATCAGATCTATATTCATCAAGATGCAATCCCTCAACTTGTACACACACGACTTGCCGTGCCACATGCGTATGGGGTCTCGGCTCATTTAGTCAACAGTCCCATCACGGGTATGGAACAATTCCATCACAACGCTATATACCCATTCGTGCCAGACCCGAACCGTACTCCAAGCCATAATGCTTCGGAGAGTTGGCGACTTTCCGAGCTTGATCCATATCCGCAGCGCAAGTTGGAAAGGTTGAAAGGCAAAAGCGATAATAGCATCATATATCCAAAGGTGCCATATCGCGGCCACCCTTTCGTGCTGATCTCCGAGGACAACTTTGACCTTCTTCACACCTCGATGGGCAGATACGATCAGAATCCAGGAGGAGATTTTATCGCATTCAGCCCGGTCTGGAAGTCATGGGCCATGGCCGCGCAGCAACAATACTCCCTCTTGTATAATCTCGAGAAAAATCGAATATCGCGCTACTTCTTTGGACGACCAGCGACGTACCCAGCCGATGCCAAGGGACCAGGCCAGAACAGTACTGTGGCGGCACCAAAACGAGAGGGAAAGCCTCCGTTAGGTGGCGAGCAAATCTTTGACACGCAGTTCCGGCGGTACAACCTCAACTTTGTTGCTGTCTGGGGCTCTGATATCAAGAAGCACCTGCCCATGGACGACGACGACGAAGACGCTATTACAAAGTCAATCCCGAAAAAGACGGGCCGCCCTTTCATCATCGACACACGCGCCGTTGTTGGGCACTTCAGCTTCTACACGCAGGCCGAGAATATACGTCAGACCGATCTGCTGGACCGGTGGCGTGGTTTCGCAAATGAGGCTGTGTGCAAGCCGGGTAACCTCAAAAAACCATGGGATCTGCGTTGTCCCAACTTCGAGGATTGATTTCTTGCATCCGTTGAAAAACAACATGTTTCAAGGAGGTGCAATAGAAAACGGCAAACGGCGTATCTTGGTGACTCGAACGAAGTCGAAACTTGTGTAACTTGTGGAGTTCAAATCTAGGGCTAGAACACCTTGGCGATACATGGCGGGCGGCGTTTTCCGGCGTTTCATATTTCTTCTACACATGACATACCTACGGAAGCTAGCTTGAGATGTTTTCCATTAGGTCCTGAGTGGGGGGACGGGAGTAGAAGAGATGAGGAGAAGAATATCATGCGTATTATGTGGGCTGGTTATCTCTTTTTCACGGGACGATGACTCGTCCGAAGAACAAGAGTAAGAAGAATAATACGCTTTGATGATGAAGAAATGTAAGATAAATGATGCGCATGGGGATGGATGTAAGAGGGGATTTGATATTGATATAAGTTTAAGAATACAAATTACCACGTTGGTTTTGACAAAGTGGATGGTGCGGATGACATCTTCGTGCCGGGGCTTTTTTTTACGAATAGTAGTATCTTCTGTAGATGACATATGTCTTCAAAAGTGCATCTTGTTGAATGAGAAATGTCAAGAAACAACTCTAGCATGTTAATAGGTTTGTAAAGCTAGCTTCCTAGATAGGTGTAGCGCTTCCGACTCAGTCGTGTCTTACAACTACGTGTAGCCTTCTTGTACGAAGTACGTGGTATGTTTAATTGCCCTTGTAGCATGAGGGTGTGTATTATTATCTACTCATACAGAGTTGGATTCTAGTTGTATCCTTCTTTCTAAATCGAAGTTCAAGGCAGGTAATGAGGCTAAAAGAGTGATTTAAACAACCCGTTATTATTGGTCAAATCCATTTAGACTAGTTCGACGTCAATACGAGATTTTCCACTGGATAAACCACACCACTGATTATATTCACCAGTTCACGATTAGTCATTGTTGTATTCTAAATGACTAGTTCGGGTGTAAGACTTCTCGCTTCGGTTGAGGTGATTACTAAATCCGAGACCGTTTAACGCCGGGTCCGGAACCGGATTTCTCATGGGTCCAAGCAACCAAAATCCGAGGTAGATGTGAGAGACGATCTACTTACCCTATATCGTTGTCGCTAAAGTATTTAAGGATAGTTTTGCCAATCGGGCAGATTAACGTAAGAGAGTTTCAGCGAGGCAAATGAGCTGTGTAAAAAAAGATATTACGCGTGTAAATGAAAGGGATGCTCGGCGGCCTTGACAAGCAAGTTCTTGTGCAACGCAATAAATCAAATAACTGCAACGAATAAAAGATTAAAAGAAAAGGAATTCTCGAAGCTAGGGATCGAACCTAGTCCTCTTCCCCCCTAAAGGGTACAATACTAACGTACTGCATGTGAATAAGCGTGCTACCATTACACAACTTCGAGTTATTAAACCGGGCGTAATTTTGACATTGTCACGGCTCCAACTATATATGTTACTAAAGACGGTCAAGTCTCCGACTTGATAACGTTCTACCTTTTGGTAGTGTCGTGGTTAGAGCTGCAGTTCTGTTCCGTGACAGACATATAGGCGACCTAGGTACACTTTTATAAATCTTAAATTAGATTTTTTATTAGTTAAGCTTTAATTCTACTAACACATATCTTCTAGTGCTAGTAACATATAAAAGCTTCAGTTTTACAACCTATATTTGTATGCAATATGCAACTACGGTAACCAGGCAAGAACCGTGGAAGCACCTAAGAGGTACCGAGAATCTGCTTCTTTGAAATAGTTGTTGGTACAATACGATGAACGGGCTACATTCAAACAGCCTTGGGCCGGACCCGGACTATTATTGTATGTCCGGATTTGCTCTTGCCAGAAGAAAACCTTCGCACGAGAGCTCCGCACACAGTTGTAGATATAATATACATGAATAAATTAGATGCACAGGTTAACCCCTATTATTGTACGTACGTACGAAAGTCCACCCAACAATGGTGTGTTATGGCGGAACTGGTGAGACCGCCTTCGTGTCGGGTGTTCGATTTTGCTGTTAGGTCAACTTCACTACTAGTCGACGTAGAGATATTTGGCTGTGTTGGTGTCACATAATGCTACTCATCTGTTGAAGAAGCTACGTGTATCACTTCTTTCCTAGTCAAGAAAATAAGCACAACGTCTCTATCTTCTCTGGACATTTGGATAAGTTCAGATAGGGGGCTGACTTTTTCATCTTCCACAAGGTGTATGTACGGGCTTCATACTCATGTTAGCCTACAAGTTGACTATCCCGTGAGTAAATACTAGATTTTCTTTGTTGATTTTATGACAGATGGTGCCAACCCAGATTTTAATAATAGAGATTTTAGACTCACTATCTGCTGTAATCTGCAGCAGGAGTGAAAAGTCAGGTGGTAAAGCCAATACATATTTGGACTCAACCGACTGGGCTGCAAACACATAGTCCTTACCCCAGAAAGGGCCAATACGGTTCCGCGTAAGCCGGTAAGCGAGAACCGATGTGCGAATAACTAGGCACCACGTGCCAAGTAGCGGGGCTACTGTTGTATTGCGGCTGAGTGATATGGAGAGACCATACCATAAACCGTCCACATATCCATTGTCTGCACTGTTAATTGTAAAATGTCCTCCAGTTCATTGTCACCTAATTCAATATGCCGACCGCACACAGCCGCGACGAGCTGTTCAGCGAGCAGAGGCACATCGGGATAATCTTTGGCTTCATTTTGGTCCCGTGTTGGTGTGGTTACGTCTGGTTAGACGACCACAATGGTCCAGTGCTCGCAAGAGTCGCTCTTTTTATATTCAACTCCTTGTTCACTCTAGGCTACGCACCATATTCACCATACTTTTTGGAGTTTATCTTCCTATCGCCATTCTACATCATCAAAACACTCCTAACGTTATTCTCAAAAATACTGGTCAAGTCCTGGGGCATTTTCGTCAACGTAACGATTTCGCCTTTGAAACTTGGGTTGTCATTCGTGTTGTCCACCCTCTCGCCTGTTTGTGTCGCGAGATTACCTCGGTATCGAGCTCCTCAAGATAACGGCGACGGAGACCTTCGACATCTATGTTGCAAGTGCCGACCTATTGTCGATCAATCAAGTCTCCTTAAAGGGACTTATTGGGTTTTTACTTGGTCTAGGGAAATCTACCCATTCCATAGTAAGAACGAACTGCAAAAATCGGCCAAGGTCTGCCATTTATGTAGTTTCTTGTGGAGTGCGTCTTTCAAAAACAGCTCAACATCAATACCGATAGCCTGTGAAGCAGATCATGATTTGATCAGTGTTCCATCCGTTACCACACCACTCCTTTCTTCTCCACTAGCAACTGTCCAATCAATTGGCCAGGCCCAAGCTAAGGAAACTGTGAAGCTAAAGATGGAAATTACAGCAACCAGGCCCTTCAGACAAAGACAGTCACTGCATATTAGAATTCTAGGAAAACAAGGCTCAGATCCACTCGTATCGCTGGAAGTAGAGGACAAGCGATGTAAGTCGTACCATGCGTCCCTATATTCCTCTATTAACATTATAAAATAGCAATATTCACTCATACGTATAGGGGAAACGGGGAAGATTTCACTAACTCGGAGGGATGCTTTGAATGGGCTAAGAACATGCTTGATAGATGCGAAGGGCGTCACAAGTTCTGTACTAATGGTTTCATCTCTAGCGAGGACAGGCGTTATCGCCCAAAGCGATTAATAGACCTCGTTCATGCGCAAGAGGGTATTGCATTTCTTGTCCTCGGAGGAGCTATCAGTCAAGGAGAAGCTATCGGTCAAAATCATCGCGAACTCCGTTACTTTGCTCTGAGCCACTGTTGGGGCGGTTGTGTCAAGTCAAAACTCACCGTGGCTAACTCGGACCAAATGAAGGCAATGGAAATAACCACCTTGGATCCTAATTTCCGGGATGCAATTGCTATTACTCTCAAAATGGGGATGAGATATTTGTGGATCGATTCATTGTGTATTGTTCAGGACTCAGAGGAATGGGCCGAAGAGTCCGGGAACATGGGCCTCGTCTACGCCAGGGCCGCCTGCGTCATATCCGCCACAGCCTCCATAAACTCAAACGGAGGCTGCTTTCGGCGACAGGACTTTTCCCTCTACGACTGCGAGCTTCACAGCCATAGCGAAGATCGTCTCGTCGTTTGCCAAAAAGTCCGCCTGCCGGAGATATTCGACAAGAAGGTAGAGCTGGCCGTGCTAACCACCAGAGGATGGACTTTTCAGGAGAGATTCCTAGCTAAAAGGGTTCTACACTTCTGCTCCGGACTCGTTATTTTCGAATGTAATACGCTTGTGGCCTCTCCGGCCCACAACGATGTCTCCTATGACACCATTTACGAACGGAACAAAGCACTGAGCTTGCCACTCGAGCCCCCGCCGAAATATAACTATACTGTGAGAACAAGACACCCCATGGGAATCACTAGATCGCGGGGAGGCCGCGTTCGAGACGGAGTCAAAAAGCGTATTACGCCAGAATACAGAAAGTGGACATATAGTCAGCGGATAGGGTCGAGAGTCTGGGCCCGGTTAGGCATGCGAGGGGCCTTTAACTTTCTAGTGGCATTTATAGGTACGGGGCTTCGGAAAGAGGCCGAATTCCACGTGCGCTGGTTCGATCTCGTCGAGCCTTACTCAACCCGGCAATTAACCAAGGACAGCGATAAAGTGATTGCCCTGCTGGGGGTTGCGCAGTTCATTCAGCAGAACACAGGGCTCCAGTTCGTAGCCGGGCTTTGGGATCGCGTTCTACCGTTCAATCTCCTTTGGACACTGCACGGTCCGGCGAGAGACCGGCCGCGCGACCGAGTTGCACCCACGTGGTCTTGGGCGTCCGTGGACGGAAGGATCTCACACCGCTTACGAGCATCCGATAGTGTCCCGAGCGCGAATTATTTCCTCGGGGTCGACAAAGGGAACGGCAGGGAATCGACCGGGTCTTGGGAAAGCGTAGAGTCGTTGATCTCAGACGTCCAAACTCACGCTGTTCAAACCGTCAATGACATGATAACCCAGGCTACGTTGACGCTGCGATGTTCGCTTTCTCCATTTGACAAGAAGAACCTCAACATAGCTTACGATACTTTACAGCCACCCCTGCCGCATGAGTTGCTGTGTCTTCCGATTTTGGCATTCGAGAACCGCAAAATACATCCCCAAACAAGTTTGCGACAGGTTCATGGGATACTTGTACGGGAGCTCGGCACTAGAGAAGGAGGTGGTGATGCTCCATCCAGGTACGAGAGAGTGGGATACTTTTGGACCGTCCAGCCGAGCCACGGCCTCTATCCCGTAGACGAGGGATCTAAGCAGCGCATTGAGCTAGTTTGATCAGTGCATAATTGTGACATCAGAAACGAATTGATATAAAAGCTACGGAGAATGCGGTAAAGGGGACAAGAAGATTAACTTCTTCACGTCTAAGGTTCAAAGCGACGCCCAGGACATTACCGCGAGACCAATTGGTCCAAACCTCAAGGTAGACCGGATAGTGATCCGCCTCACTCGAAAAGCCCACCATGATGAAAATGTATAAGGGAATGTATAATAATGTGGCAGGACTGATAAAGCGCCCCTGAAACTAAAATACAGCTAAGGGATCTTGCCAGTACTTTACGTTCATCAAGCTTCGGCGTTTGAAGATAGAACAAGCTCTCGTCTGCCTCGTCCAAATATGTTTATGAGGCAAACTATCAATATATAGTTCTGATGAACTACTATTTAGGATAAGCCGACAAGACGCCGCAACGTAGCTTTGCTAATTCCGATTGTATTCCCTAGGTAGACTGCAGCCCTGATCAATGAAGATATTGTCTTACTATGTCTAAGTGAAGCGGCCACGGGTAACTGCAAACCATGTGAACCTCAGCTAAGGAGGAAATCTAAATATTACGCATCTCAGACTGGCAAAATCCAGCTAATTCACAGGGGACTCACGTAATCGCGCAAAGCAGTAGATAATAAAGTATTTGAGAGGGAAATCAACGATGAGCTAAATGAAAAATAAGTGGTGAAGTCCAAAAAATCGAGGTGTGTGGCCAAGTCAGTACAATAATGATCACAAAGACCCCCTTATTCACTAACTCCTCACGTAAAATGTGACCCCTAATAAGTGATTTACGAAAGCAGACAGCTTACACTGCTTCAATAGAATACTTGCATGTAGGAATATTACAACAAAGTTCTAGATAGTACCCATAGGGCTATAGAGGCTGACATGAAAACGCCACACCGAACAGTCAGAACATGGTAGTAGGCTTTTATAAATTTTAGCGAATAAGATTTGAGAGAAGCCATTGTAGTAAAAGTATTCTGCTGTTGTGATACTATAATCAGTTATAAAACTTCCGGAATCGTAAACCAGATGGCATTTCGGCCCTAATTTATGACTCAGAC